CTCAAATAGGAATTGGCATAGATAAGCCTTTTCTCGAAGTTTGATGGCATATTTGAGCATTTTCCCTTAATTGTATGATGTGATATGTAACAATCTGTTTTTATCGTTATTTTTTTTGTTTGAGAAGTATTATAATTTTCCTTTTCATTTAAATTACGTTGTGAATATGATAGTGTATAGTATTTTTAGATATGTCCTAACAACAACTAAGAAATCCTTATAAAGCTTGCATCTTCTTGATGCCTTTAAATGAATCTACTTACTTCGTAAAAAACACTTGTGGTTTTCAAAATAGTATTATGACACGGCTCAATGTAGCCACCAATCATTTATTTATTTTATTCATCTTTTGACTCCCCCTTTCTTATTTTCACCATTCATTTATTTATTTATTTTAAAATCAATGCATAGTTATTATTTGTTTAATGTCTAATAAAATTATATATTCAAATTATTCATAACTCAAATCTCATATTGTTACTTATACCTTCTGTTCTTAAACACTATTCCTAACTTTTGTGTTTCCATTACAATAGTTATTAACTATATTTAATATTAAAATAAACAAAGTAATAATAAAGAAAAAATAAAGCAGTTTAAAAGTCTTTTAAGAAATCAGAATTTGTATAGAGACTCCAGAGCTACTATAAAAGATGAGAGGAAATTAAAATACATAGTAACATTTACACGTAATACAACATATTATTCGATTAACTTCACCACTATAGATGTTTTATTCTACTATATACATATGAATAGTTTGTACTTAAAAGAATGCACATAATTTCAATTTTGTTTATTGAAACAGGATGAAAAACATATCATGAAGCAAATGAAGAGAAATATCAATGTTGTCTTATCTGATACTAACTTGAATATAAATTTTACATAATTACGTTATTAAATAAGAAATTAACAATTCATAGAGATTCATATTCATAAATATATATATAATTTATTATATTTCCACGTAGCACACGTGAAGCACGAACAATTTCACTACTTAAAAATTTAATCTTGAAAATATTTTATATCTGTAATATACATGCAAGCTTGGATGCACCTCGACTAACCCTGGGTTACTTGCTACCTCCCACCAACACGGGTATACAGGGTAACTCTATCCGTCATGGTTTAGACAAATGAAAAAAATCACCTAGTATTTTCAGCTCAACTGAGGTTTGAACCTGCGACCTCATGGTTCTCAACCCGCTTCATTGTCAACTAGGTAGTGACCTTGAAACTTTTATAGCTAGTGTTCCAATGTTTGTGTGATAATTAGATAACGTTTTCAACGTTAATTATAGGCTTAACCATCAGTGACCCCCTAAAGTTGGCACGATGCTTTACTTAGACACCATAACTATAACTGAGAGATGCTCATTTTCGACACTTTATGTAAGGTCCCATTCTGTCATTTTGACCCTTTTTCATATGAGCAAAAACATATCACGTGTGTTACACTCGCAAATAACGTGTAAAGTGACAAATTAAACAATGACATTTTTCATTTGTGTTAAAAGTAATTTTTCAAAAATAAATGTTGAGTAAAAATAAAAGTGACACATGATAGTTTCCCCCAAACAATTACAAAATAAAACAAAATTTGAACGAACTAAAAAAAGTCAATGCCACCTGCTCCAAATCCCCACCCCACCCCGATCGTCTTCTCTAAAGCCCACGTCCTCACCCTACCCCGATGTCCTTTCCAAACCCCATTGAGTTCCTTGATTAATCCTTCTAGGCTTGGCTCCAGCCTCTACACGCTCAGCAGCAGCTTCTTGGGTTGGGCCACCAGGTTGAGGTTGTTCCTAATGTTGGACTTCAGCAATGGCAGCTAGTAGCCACTGCTTCTTTAGTGTGAGAATCTACCTGTTTATCGCTTGCGGCCTGGGCGACTCGATTAAGGCCGAGCCTGTGGGCGTGTTGTTTTGTTCTTAATTTGATCAGGAAATCAATTGGCGATTTCCCTTGCTTGGCTTACTTACTTTTGGATATGATTAAGATTATCAAAACATCCAGAAAGATTCTTTTTTAAAGCTTGACTTGGCCCCCGGACAATCACCTTCTCTAAACCCCGCACCCCAACCAAACGAACCCCTTTGATAGTCCTCTCCAACCCCCCCCCCTCAAATGACTTTCTCATCCAGATACCTTTCTACAAAAAAAAAAATTGCCTTCTCCAAATACCTCTATTTTTTTTTGCAAGCCCACAAATTATCGAAATAAGCTTTTATCGATCTTCTTAAATTCACTTCCATGCAAATATTAAATTTTTCTAAGAAAGAATTTTATGAATGGGTTTATTCTTAAATTTTAGAAGCATTTTCCGTCATTTTTGTTGAAACCTTCATTCACAATGTATTGAAATTTAACTTGGACAAAATAGTGACAAAAAATGGGGAAGAAGAAGAAAAAAATAATTCAAAAATTAACTAAACAACCTTTTCACACGCTCGATGAGTGTATCACACTCACTATTCCATGTAAGCAAAAAGAGTCAAAATGACACAGCGAGATTCTACATGATTCTACATGAGGTGTCTAAAATAAGCATGACTTAGTTAAGGTGTCTACTTTAGGGGCCACCAATGGGTTAGGCCTTTATTATATAATATTATCTTGTGAGCCACTTAATAACAGACTGCAAAGTGAAGAACATAAACAAATCCCACAAAGAATTGAAGGAGTACCTCAATAGTAGTGCAAGATGACAAATGTAAATTGGGCTGATAACGTGACATGGACTTCTCTTCCGGAAGTGGAGGATAATATGATGACAAAGGAGCTGAAGAACCAACAGAACCTGGAAACAATGAGGCCGAAGTTCTAGGAGGTGAAGATGAGACAAGACGTTCATGCAAAGGGGGTTCCAATGGAAGAGGGGGTGGAGGAGAAGCTGGAAGTGGCGGCTGGCTAGCGTATGTCTTACAACCCTGTGCCGAATATAAGCTTGTGCCACTACGGTCAGCTGAATTAATCCTCTGGTCATGTGGGGAACCATAATGATTTGATTTTGAATCCACATGATTTGACATTGCATAAGCCTGCGAATAATGATGGTTGTAACTGTGACCATCCACGGGCAAATGGCTTGTCTGTTCATTGTACAGTTTATTCATCCCTGAAACTCCATGCCTTGGAAGATAACCACCTCCAAGTTTTGAGCTGTACCTTGATCCTTCACAATTCTGTTGGTTGTGTTCTACATTGTGGTGAGTATCAGCTCGAGGACTACCATATTTGTAACCATTTCTCTCTGGCAAATTCTTGTCATATCCTAATTGTCCAAACTGTACATTCCCTTCCCTCGGTGGATATTGCTGTCTCTCAAAACGTTCTTGGTCACAAAATGTTTGATTTCTATCCATATTACCATAACCTTGATCTACATAACTGCTATTGCTATTTTTTCCACCTAAAAATCCATCAAATTTTCCATATTCTTCACCATCAAAACTTCCACGCCCTTTGTCTAATTCGTAAGCTGCCCCACCAAATTCGTTAATCAGCTGCAATCTCCTCTCATTATCAGTTGAAAACCTAGCTAAACTAGTCAACTTTTCATTCGTAAAAGTACCCGATGAATCATCAACTCTCATTCTCTTCACTCCAACATTGAAAGCACCAGGTGAATCATAAGTAGGTTTCATATTTCCATACACATCTGAGGGGCGGGGATGATGCTCGTAGCCATCAACAGTGGGACGATGAGGAGGGGGCATAGGGGGTCCACCACGATGATCGATGAAGGGGTCGTAAGCGGCCTCATGAGGAGGAAGTGGAGGGCGGGAGAGGGGTTGATTGGGATGTGGTGGTGGATATCGGAAACTAGGGTTTGAAGGGAAAGGGATTGGAGGGGGGCAAAAGGGGAAGTGTGAGATTGAACAAGATGGACAGATTCTACCTTGAATTGGTGGTGGAGGAAGATGAGGACGCCATGAATGATCCATCTACAATCTTCAACTGGACACCAGATGATCAAGAAGAGCACACACAATTTAGAGAGAGGACAAAGGGGAAAACAGTAAAGAAGGAGGAATTTTGTGAATGGGTGTATTATACAAGATCTATGGAACTACTCTTTTTAGTTGCCTTTTCTTTTTTCTTTATTTATAATCATATTGGTCATTTACTTGGGTTTTTCATTATTATTTCAAATTATATATTTCATACAATTGATGTATTTTTTAAAAATATATTATTGAATGCATTTATGATTTTACGGCTATATATCGAGGAAAATAATGTTTGAAGGCACGTGAAAGATGAGGGAAGCCTCCTGTAAGAGAAGAGCGTGTTTTTCATGTCATAATTTTTTTTAAAGGTATAGAATATTTTCGTATATAAAATATTGCATATTTAATTTCATCTATAAATTTATTTTCTTTTCTATAAGTAGAGTCAGAAATTTCTTAAAGGGTATCCAAAAATTTATTACGTATGAATAATGATATTACATTGATATAAAGCCAATTCCAATAGATTTATTGGAGGGCCTTGATGGCCATAAATCTTCGCATTTGTATAGTGTTTTGAACGTTAAAAGTTATGTTAAAATATGCATTTCACTTGAAAATCGAAACAAAAGTTAAAGCTATGTGAGTGAACAAGAAGTCCCTTCACAAATGTTAATCAACTTTTTGACTCGCTTAAACTAGCAGGTGAAATGCCCAATAGGTGTATGCCAAAACAAGCAAGAATATTGATACAACCTCCCTTTGGAATTTTTCCTGTTATTTTGAGGGATCAATCACCTTCCTTTAGCATAGCACACAACAAAAATATGACCCTGTACTACACACCAATAAGCTAAGTTGCACAGATTCTTCAGGTTCAATGTTACATCATGTCATTCTCCAAAAATACATTACTATTGACGACTTTAACACACAATCATTGACATTTTTGAAGAGTCTAGGTATCATAGCTAGTAAAACAATAAAAGATCAATCATCAAGGATGAAGAATGGGTAAAAGGAACAAATAAACAGGTACAATTAACGAGGAGAAATATCACATCCATCTATTAATAGTATATAATTCTTCAAAGGTCTGGGATATTAAATTCTTTACAATATAAGATACTAGAGGCATTCACAAATACAAAGTCAAACTCGCCAAACATATCCACACTAACAGAAAGTAAACACAAAATGAAAAAGGCTGCTTCAAGTGAAACACAATTAACATTTCTGATATAGTAGAAACATTTAATGGTTCACAGAAGCTTGAAGGAGTCCATCGCGGATCTGGCTTGCCACATCTCTTACAGCACCAGGCCCATGAGGAAGGAAGACAGCAGATGATTTACTGGAAGCGCCAATTTCTTTCATGGTGTCAAAGTACTGGGTTAAAAGGACCATGTCCATTACATCTTTTGCTGAGGTTCCAGGCACATTCACTGAGAATCCGAGCACGCTGTCTCTCAAACCATCCACAATCGCTTGACGCTGTCGTGCAATACCTAACCCTGAAAGATACTTTGATTCTGCCTCTCCTTCAGCCCTCTTAATTTGCAAAATCTTCTCCGCCTCTGCTTTCTCATTAGCAGCCACCCTCAGCCGAGCAGCTGTAGAATTGAAAACAATTAGGACATGAAAAGATACTCTTTTATAGTGTGGCTTGTAGCTCAGTTGGGGAGCTGCCCACACCTTCACACTAGTGATGGTGGGTTCGAATCCCACTGTAGCCCCCTCCATCAACTGATGTATATAGTCCTCTTGGACAAAGTACTAACTAGTCAGAGCAGTTGAGAACCAGCAGGCATCAGGCTTAACTAAAGAGATGAGATTTTAGCCATACCAGCATTGATTTCATTCATAGCTCTCTTCACATTCTCATCTGGTTCTATATCAACTATAAGTGTTTGAACAATTTCATATCCATAAGCCGACATAGCCTATAAAGGATCATAATGACATACATATGAGATCCAATGAAAAATTCAAATTGCCTGTATCAATTAAGAAAACATTGAAGAATCGGCTTACCTTCTCAAGTTCATCCTCGACAGCCTTGGCAATTTCATTTTTCTGCTCGAAAACATCATCAAGATTGAGTTTTGGAACACTTGCTCTAATGACTGACAAAATATAAACATAGATTTGTGTAAGTTAGCATTACCCATTGAAATCAATTTATTCTCAGAAATAGTATATAAACAGACAGATTAAATATCTACCATCAAAAACATAGGCCTGAATTTGACCCTTAGTGTTGCTTAGTTTGTAGAAAGCATCATTTGCTTTGTCTGCCAGGGCACGGTACTGAATTGATGCCACAACATTGACAAACACATTATCCTGCACATTTGTTGCAATATGTATTAAGTCATTAATATGCATAAATACTGAAAAATCATCACCTAGTTATGTTTGTTAAAGTGCAAATTGTGGTTGACTTTGATGATTTGGCTGCGAACCAACACAGCTTGTGTCAAAACAATGGAATTACTGTTTCGGAATAAAGAATAGACCTTTGTCTTTGTCTCGCAGCGAACATCCAATTGTTGCACCCTGAGGGAGAGATGGCCAGCTAACTGGAATCCGAAGCACCAAGGCAGGCAGTGGCAACCTGGCTGAAGCACATCTTGATACTTGCCAAACTGCTCTGTAATTGCGACGGTGGATTGATCAACTTGTACACAGCCCAATAGATTGCCCATACTCTGCAACGATTGCATGAAAAGGAAGATTATTCACAGAAGTCACCCATAAAACAAACTCAAAAAATGATATATTACACCATCAGAACCTGTCATTATAAAGGAGCAATTTAAACGAGTAACAAATTCTAAAACGAAAAGAACACAATAGTTAGTTTACACTTTACAAATTACACTTGGGACACCTCAAGTTCACAAATCCAAAAAGGGTAATATTCTCGAACTTCTCCCTGGAACTAAAGATTACAAACTGTTAAGTCACACTTTAGGGAGCAACTGCTACTCTAGTTTCTTTTACAAAGTTACTGAACATCAGCAATAAACTCTCCCAGTTAACTAAGAAAAGATTAAATGACAATATCACCAGTTCAATTGTTGTTTTCAATATTCATCTATAAAAGGCAAAGTTAAATTCTGCTGTCAAATTTCTCAACCCACTTTACCTTATCAAACCCATAATCCAACACCCAATCCAACAAGGCTATAAACTAAATTTCATGGCATTAAAGAAACTAGAACAACACTTTTCTGCTTATAACTACTGTCCCCTCCCCAATTCATGTGACATTTTTCGAAATATCAAAATTTTAATTTGAAAGTATACAGAGTTGACCTAGATCAAACTAGCAAGCAAGTCTTCCTTCACACATTAGGTCTTAACACAAAAACGATTAAACTATAAGAACAAATAGAAAAATTGAAATTGTATAAAGTATGTGCATATGTACATAAACATACCGAAGCAACAAAGCTAGCGAAGGAGTGAAGAATCGAAATGGGTATTTCGATAGTTAAGATGGGTGAGTTTATATATTTGGGGATAAGTCTATGGAGGAAAGAGACTTGATGAAGAAGAAAGTATGTGGAAATTGTAATGGAGTCGAATATTATTAGGAGAAGATACTTCGTAAATATCAAATTAATTGGATTGGCTACTCGTTCCCATCGCCATCTCATATTTTAAGCTTTCGACAAATTTATGTGATATAGTTTAATTTAAAAATATATATATTTGAATTAAAATAAATAAATAAATATTTTGTATTGTAATAAATTATTTTATAACAAAATATATATTTTAAAAGTAATTTTTTTCCTGATTAAAAAAATATATGCTATATAATTTGAGATTTAAAAACATAAAAAGCTCAGGCTTTTTCCATATATTAGATTCATAAAAATTTTAATGAATTGTTTGACAGTTGGTTAAAGTTACAAATATAATGCATTATTTGTTTTATATATATATATTCATATATAATTAGTTATTGAAATATATTATTTCCTCTAATCACTTTTAATTGTAATTGTTTTAACTATAAAAATTTTAATTGTTTTTTAATCATATTAATATTAAAGAAATTCAATTTACGGTGATTTTTGTATAATTTTTTAATATCTAAACTTTTGTTTAAAATATAGAATTAACATAATTTTAAAAATTAGTCAAAATTGATTTTTAAAAAGCACAACATGACAATTAAAAATTGAATGAGGGATTACATAGTTATTTAATATAAGGTACAAAGATTGTAATAGAGTAGTAGGTACTTCGTATTCATTTATCAGGGGTCTTGAGTTCGAATGTCTTTGTTACAGAGCAATTTTTTTTTTAAAATAATAATATATAATTAATTTAATATTTATTATTATAAAAGTCAATAAGAAAATATATAAAGTCCACACATCCTTTTAATGATTGATAGGCATAAAAATTACTAAACTCTTAATTAAAATCGAATCATGCGCTGTAAAATTATTATAAAAATAATGCTTCGAACCAAATTTTCTACTTACCCATGATTTGATATCCATACTGACTTTTAATTGATTCTTCTTATCTTGTCTAGCGGAATATTGGAGGTACACATAGTAAATATCTCCAAAATAAAATAAAAATACATTGGAAACATTAACAAGGCACATGAAAAGGACATATATTAATTAATTAAATGTCACTACCTAATTGTAATATTTATTCGGATATTGGTTCGTTTCCTTGGAAAAATGTTGTGACAATAGCCTCATAAAGTCACTGGTGGATCTAAAATATCGTTTATGAATTAGATTAAATTAGCAATTTTGTTCAGATATTAGTTTTATATTTAAAAATCTTTGACTACGTACATAAAAAATATTACTAAAATTCAGAATCGAAATTTCCTCTTGATTTTATAAAATTAGAAATCTCTTGCTTTCGTAATTAAATATCATGAATCAAATACCCTTGTTCAATTTAATTGGTCAATTCTAACAACTTGCCTTATACGTCGTCCAATAATATGACTAAAACTCTCATTTATCAACTTATTCTAGTTTTCTTCAAACCTAAATAATAGGATGTTCTTAATGTAAGATTGACCTTAAAGTATTTTAATTAGAATTTATGTTATAATTTTTTTAAAAAAAATTGAAAATGTAAAACGAAAGATTACACATCAGAAAAAAAGATAAAGAAAGGTTTCTTAGAAGTGTTTGTTACTTTGTTAAAATTAATTAAGAAACTAATGACAAATGGAGATTAATCTATCAAATTATTCAAAATCATGGAATGAGTTTAATTTAGGTTATATGTTGCACCTTGCCAACATGCCATTTTATTAAGGAAATAGCTCCGTGAGACTTGGGATGAAGAGATCATAAATTAAGTAGTGTTACATACTCAAATAATTTAAAAAACACTTAACAACTATTTACATTCGGAGTAGGTCAAATGGTAAGGTAAGATCATATATCCGTTTGACTCCTCGTGGGGTACAACTTATATTTAGTCATTTGATTAGGAATAGTGTAAAGTTTGAAATAACTGTTGATCAGGGCGGAGGAAGTGTATAATGAGAAGGGTTCATCCGAACCACTTCGACGAAAAATATTACTTCCTCTATTTCACAAAGAATGATCGAATTATTTTGATACGGAGTTTAAGAAAATAAAGAAAACTTTTGATCATGTGATTCTAAATTAAAGTTATGTCAAATGTACAAAATTGCTCTTTAATCTTGTGGGCTTAAACATACCACGTGGAAAGTAATTGTTATAAAAAAAAAGAAGAGGTCATTCTTTTTAAAACATACCAAAAAGGAAAGGAGATCATTCTTTTGTAAACGGAGGGCGTACTATTTATACATGGTTAAAATTATTTTTTAGGTATGTATAATAAATGTCGAACTCCCTCCCACTAGTTTGTATGTTTACTTCTCAAATTTTGAACCCCTATTAAAATTTCTGACTCCGCCCCTGCGGTTGACTAAGTGACTGTTACCATTTTTGGGGTTTCTTTTTTCTTTTTCTTTAACTTCTGTATTGTGATTGACCAATTGATAAAGGGTGGAAACAAATATGAAAATTATCACGTTAATAGAATCTCAACTTAGTTAGTTATGATGGTTTTGGAAGGAGTTTTGTACATTATAGCTTTGTAAGAAAATAGCAGAATTTTTTAAAAATCAAAATATGAAATTTATAGATTCTTTTAACGTCATCAAATTAATACTTTCTTTGTCCATTATTAATTTTTATATTTTTCATTTTTAAAGTTAAATTATAAAAAAATTGATTAATAATATTACGATATATTTTTTCATCATATTGATATAAAAAAATGTGATGTATAGTACTTTTTGAATAGTTTTTAAAAATCTAAATTTTTTGTTTAAAATATCAAACTAATATAACTTTTAAAATTAGTCAAATTAACTTTCGAACGGTATAATATAACACACAAAAAGAACAGGAAAAAAAAGAAAGATGGAGATGCGGGGTATCGATCCCCGTACCTCTCGCATGCTAAGCGAGCGCTCTACCATCTGAGCTACATCCCCATGTTGTTTACTTTTTCTGCTTAAAAAAGTAAAATTCTAAAACTAAATGTCAAAATAAACATGTACAAAAACTTTTTCAATAGCTTTATTATGTACTACTGAGTTAATATTCCATTTCAACCGATTTTCAGTTATACTTGGTTCATGAATATTTCCAGATACTCTGGTACTTGATGGTTTTTTAACCGATTTTTTTTAACATTTATTTGCGTAAGCAAGTTCTTATGCCATCATCAAATACTGCTAAAAAAGACTTATAATGAAAAAAAATCATGAAAAATATCAATTTTATACTTTTATTAAAGCTCAAACACTCATTTATAAAGTGATTGGAGTCCACACACTCAACTTTCGTGAGCATTTATAAAATTTCAAACATATTATTAGCCTTTGGAGATTTATGAATTCTTAAGAACAGGCAGTTGATTTTTTATGATATTCCGTTACAAATGAGATTAAAATACATTATTCAAAAATTATGTAGCATAGTAATTCAATATTACCTTCTTCTAGCGTGACTCAAATCCTCAACCGTTCATAGCTCAGTTCTAATCACGAATTTAATATAAAAGTATTAGTAGTATATATTTAAATATGAGGAGTGAGTGGTGTTGTTCCAACTTCCAAGACATATTTTATAAAAGAAGTAAAAGAACTCTATTAATACCATACAGAGTGACTTGAGCAGTGACGTGATTTTCCTACCTGCAACGCCATGGTTTCCGTGGCAAAAACTTCATATATATTTCAGCAATTTTGCAGTGTCTTTCACAAAACTTCCATAGCAATTAGTGTGTTTTCTCTTCAGCAATGGCAGCAGAAAACGTAGCCCAATCAACCTTCCCACTCCAAGATCGTGTGGCCATTGTTACCGGTTCTTCTCGCGGAATCGGCAAAGCAATTGCACTTCATTTGGCCTCACTTGGTGCTAAACTCGTCATCAACTATTCCTCCAACTCCACTCAAGCTGACGACGTCGTATCCCAGATCAATTCCACCTCCGGTTACCCACGTGCCATTGCGGTCAAGGCCAATATCTCAGATCCAGATCAAGTGAAATCCCTCTTTGACGCTGCTGAATCGGCTTTTCAATCGCCGGTCAACATCCTGGTAAACTCCGCCGGGGTACTCGACGGAAAATACCCGTCAATCCTAAACACAACCCTAGAGGATTTCGACAGGACTTTTGATGTGAACGCTCGTGGAGCTTTCGTATGCTGCAAGGAAGGTGCTAAGAGAATCAAACACGGTGGAGGAGGGAGGATTATATGCTTATCGACGTCCTTAGCAGCGGCGTTTAGACCTGGATACGGAGCGTACATCGCTTCAAAAGCGGCCGTGGAAGCAATGGTGAAGATACTGGCGAAGGAACTGAAAGGGACAGGAATAACGGTGAATTGTGTGGCGCCGGGACCCATAGCGACGGAATTGTTCTACGAAGGGAAAACAGAGGCCATGATAAAGAGGGTGATTGATGATTGTCCACATGGAAGACTTGGCCTGCCGGAGGATATCGCGCCGGTGGTTGGGTTTTTGGCCGGCGACACTTCTGAATGGGTTAATGGACAGATCATTCGTGTCAATGGCGGCTTCATCTAATTTATTTATTTATTTATTTTGCCAAGAGTTTTGTTTTACCTGCAGTTTTCTATTGTGATATCTATTTGATTTTGTTTCATTTTCCCTTATTATATAATATAATATAAAATAATAACCAATATACATAAAAATCCCCCTAAATTCGAAATAAGAACTTCCTTTAGTATTTAAAATATACAAATATTTATATATTCCTTAATATTTTCTGTGTGAATTATTTTTAACTCTCTCAACACCCAACTCAATTGAAGGCTGGGTATTGTTACATATCACGTTTTTATTGGTCCACGTCTCTAAAAATTTAAAAAATATGTTACTCATTTTATAAAATTCATCTGTTCCAAAAATACAACCCGATCCATTTCTAAACAAAAATTCCTTATAAATCTCTAAGCCCGATTCTCATTCTCCCAAATCTACAAAAACTAACGTGAAGATTTTTCTTTCGTTAGCGTGAAGGATTTGTTGAGTTCAAAATTTTCGTGAAGAAACAAAGAATTTGCGAAATTTTTTATTGAAGAAGTAACGACAATCTTGAAAAACTGAAAAGTAAGGAAACAAAATCAAAATAATAGACGAAGAAGAATAAGTTTGAATCTTATATTTCGAAAAACAATATTTCTTTCAAAGATTTAACTTTTAGGTTTGAAGAGCATAGATTTGAGAAAAATTAAGAAAAATATGATAAATTAGGTCACCATTTTTTGGATGATTGGATTGGTGAAGGAGAAGAGATAATTAGGATTCTTATAAAAGCGAAGATTGTTCTTCAAACGGGTAATGGGATGGATATTACCGTTGGGGGGACAAATTTAATTTTTTAAAAATGTTGAAAGATGACAAATGCGTCGTTCTAAGCTGTAACAACACACGCACAAGGCTGGTGTTCGAAGAATTGAAAATAGTTCACATCAAATATGTTAAGGGGTATATAAACACTCATAGAATTTAAGTATTAAAGTAAATTTTCGTGTCAAGTTTAGAGAGATAAATCAATTTGCGAGTATTGTTTTACTTCCTAAATCCTAATTAACATAACTAAAATTCAACAATGCATTAAACATGTTTAACGTTGATAACGATTACTCATGAAAACAAATCAAGCATTCAAATTCAATCACCATTGTATTTGGGAGATCACATGGAATTGAAGTAATTTACACAATTTCAAGTTCATGCATATTGTAAATAAATAAATCATAGTAATAAGATGGATGTCTATCAATATTTTTACTCACATTATAAATAATTGATGAGAAAAATTAGCATGTCATTCCACAAAAGAGTGGTGTTCAATAATTTTAAATCATAAGCTTCCATTACAAATATTAAAATAATGTTCTTATCATATCAATTGAAATAGTACTGCAGAAAAGAAGACCAACATATCAGATTTTATTTTAAAATATAAATTTTTTAAAGACAATAGATTATCAAAATTGCAAGAACCACAATTTCATGCTAATTTTTATGATTTTGTTTTATGTTTATAAATATGTAATTTCTAAATTGTATTTAAGAGCTAATTTTGCTGTTTGGAGTTTTATCTATTTTCAAATCATCATTTTCATTTTCTTAAATATATTTGTTTACCTTATTTATCATTTTTAACTTGGTCCAAAATATAAATAAATACTATATGTTATCTGAATTTATGACTTCCTATATTACTTTTTTTTAATCATTTATTAAAAGTTTTATATTTGTGATAAGATTAACTTATGTTTTAGTTATTTCTTTAAATTTGAAGATGTTTCTTTCCCAAATATAGCAGACATATGAAGTATCTCCATTTAAAATTTTTGTCCTACAGTGTCGAGCGATTTATTTGACTATGACCAAAATTAAAACCGATTTTCAAGTTTGACTATCTCTTTCATTAGGAAAAAATCTAAAATAGTTTTAATCTTTAGGTTCAACCTCAAAGTCATTCTTAAACTTTTATATCATGATCCTTCATATATTGTAATATTCATACATATTTTATTCTCTCTCAAACTCCGGCCTATTTTTAAATATTCATTTTATCTATAATTTTATGTGTAGAACGTTAAAAATTTTTAAAAATATTTTTGATAGAAATAATACTCAATGTAAGAGAAGGTGTGAAGAAAATCTTATTTTGTTTGATAGTAATATTAATACGGCTAAACTGAAAACACTTTAACATTTGACTTTGCAAGAAAAGAAAAAATGTACAATTGCACGTGACAACGATAAATAAATCTCTTGATTTTAACTGTAAAAATGTACAATAAAATAAAATGTTCCTTTCTTTACATGAAGCTATTATTTCTACTAAATATATATAAAAAAATAAAAATTAAATTCTATACATAAATTATGAATAAAAATAATATTACAAAATAAGAAAGAATTTGGAAATTGACCTAAAATGTAAACATGAGGAACTATTATAATTTGTGTGAGAATTCAAATATGATTTTAATTCTTAATAGAAGATAAAGAGACTATTTTGAACTTTTTCTCCTCTTTTAATTATTTGTTATGAGTATTAAATATTATCACACATTTAGCACCACACCAGCACTTTTCGTTTGTTTATCCACAAAATTCCATTTTCTAGCAATTTCAGTGCTTTTCTTCAGTGATCATGGCGGAAACAAACGTAGCCCAAGGCCAAAGCCTCGGGAATCGTGTAGCCATTGTTACCGGCTCTTCTCGCGGAATCGGCAAAGCAATTGCTCTTCACTTGGCCTCTCTCGGAGCTAAACTCGTCATCAACTACACTTCCAACTCTACTCAAGCTGACGACGTCGTATCCCAAATCAATTCCACCTCCGATTCCCCACGCGCAATCGCCGTCAAAGCCAATGTCTCCGATCCAAATCAAGTCAAATCCCTCTTCGACGCTGCAGAATCAGCCTTTCAATCGCCGGTCAACATCCTCGTCAATTGCGCCGGCGTACTCGACGGGAAATACCCGTCGATCCTAAACACAACCCTAGAGGATTTCGACAGGACTTTCGATGTGAACGTGCGTGGAGCTTTCATATGCTGCAAAGAAGGCGCTAATAGAATCAAGCGCGGAGGAGGCGGAAGGATTATATGCTTAACGTCGTCGATGGCGGTGGCGTTGAGGCCCGGATTCGGGGCGTACGCGGCGTCAAAGGCGGCCGTGGAAGCAATGGTGAAAATACTGGCGAAAGAACTGAAAGGGACAGGGATAACGGTGAATTGTGCGGCGCCGGGACCCATTGCAACGGATATGTTTTACGAAGGGAAAACGGAGGAGATGATTAAGAAGGCGATTGATGAGTGTCCACATGGAAGGCTTGGACTGCCGGAGGATGTGGCGCCGGTGGTTGGGTTTTTAGCCGGCGATGCTTCTGAATGGGTTAATGGACAGATTATTCGTGTCAATGGCGGTTATATTTGATACTAGTATATGTTCGTTTTATTTCGTTTTTTATTTGGCATTTCCTTTGAAATATTGTTATAATCAATATTTTTAACCTGAAATAAGGTAAAAATTAAATAATACAGTTCAATTTGAAGTCTAAATTTTGTGAATATGCAATTTTAATTTTTTATTATTCATTAAAAAACTACTTATTTATTATAAGAATGATATATATATAAAAAAAACGAACGTACTATCATAAACTTAACTTATAGATAGTGTCTACATGAGTAAAAATTAATGTAATTTATTTTAAATACATTATATTTAAGTGGATTTTTAATCTATATGAGATACACAATAAATCTCTTTCGTATCTTTTCATCTCGCTCACCACTCTCCCATGTATTTTGTAGCCGAATACATAAGAACCTCGCTTACCACTCTCCCATGTATCTTGTATCACAATACATAAGAATCTCGCTCGCCTCCCTTCCCAATATCACTCGCCTCTTTTCCTATCTTTGTGTATCTAGTGGCAAATGTAATTTATTTTAAATACATTATTTCAAGTGGATTCATATGTATATATCTGAGATACACAACAAATCTCTTTCGCATCTCTCCCATCTTGCTCACCACTCTCCCATGTATCTTGTATTCCATATATATAAGAATCTCGCTCACATCCCTTCCCAATCTCACTCGTCTCTTTCCTATCTTTGTGTACCTAGTAGCAAAAATATATGTATTTCTTCAATATATGATAGAAACCAAAAATATATGTATTTCTTTAATATATGATAGAAACTTTTAATAAGTGATAAGATACGAAATATTTTGAAAGTTAAGTAATAGTGCTATATATCTAATTAAGTAATTCTCCCTTGCTTCTTTATTACTTTTATCGCTACTTCATGAAGTCTCTTCGAATGATTTGTGTTTGCTTAATACATGCGTATCAATTATTGTTGAAAGAAAAGAAAAAAAAGACAAGAATAATAACAAAAACTGAATAAATTATACACTTTTCATAATCTAATATTATTTCTTTTTAAATCCACTTTATTCTACTTTTGAACTATCTAAGCCATAATACTCATATTCTACTTCACATATGCATTAATATTTGGAATTTTCGATGTTATCCTTTTCATAGATGGATGGTTGTAAGCAAACAACTCATTTTCAACAGCATATTGGACTTATCTTTAGTGCATATAAGTTAAATTTCATTGGAATCAATAGAGATGCCCTTTGAATTTAAACGCAACAATTCCATAAAGCCCTATTAATTCCCCATATCAACATGTCCCAAAATCATTTTTCTAAATTCATCCACACACAGTGCATAGAAAAAATCATTATTCTTTTGTTTGTAAACAGTATCATGATCGCGAATCGAATAGGATTCTATTAATAACTGTACGTTTCCCTATTAGTACTCATATCTACTGGGGAAAAAAAAGCTAGTAGTAACAAAGAACCATAACATTACTAGCATCAATGGAGGAGATTGACAGAGAAGCAACTAAAAATGAAATAAACTACAGAGGAATCAGAGCCATGCCCTTTGTCATAGGTTTTTTTTATATATATACACTAAACTTGTATTAGTGAATAGTCTCATAATTTTTCCTTTTCTTGACACTATTTTACATATAGCCGAGTCTAACTTGTTATTGTATGCTAAAAACTGCAGGGAATGAGACATTTGAGAAGCTGGGAACAATTGGAAGCTCATCAAATCTGTTGGTTTATTTGACAAGTGTTTTCCATTTGAAGAGCATAACAGCTACTAATATTGTCAACATCTTCAATGGCACTTGCAACTTTGGCACCTTGCTTGGAGCTTTTCTTTCTGATACTTTGGTCGTTACAACATCCTTGGATTTGCCTCAGTGTCTTCCTTCTTGGTAACCAAACGCCAGAAAAATGACTTCCTCGGACAAAAATTGTCTAGAAATGATTCTAATTACCAGATCTCTTCTTTAACTTACAGGGAATGCTAGTTTTGACATTAACAGCAGCAGTCACAAAGCTTCATCCACCTGAATGTGGAAATCAAGAACCTGCACCAATATGTGTTGGTCCAACACCAGGACAAATGATATTTTTACTAGTAGGCTTTTGTTTGCTAGTAATTGGTGCTTCTGGCATAAGGCCATGTAACTTAGCATTTGGAGCTGATCAATTTGATCCCAAAACTGAATCAGGAAGAAGAGGAATCAGTAGTTTCTTCAATTGGTACTATTGTTAGGATATACTATTAACCATGCGTTTTGATATAGTATTAATATTGAACAATTGTTTATTTATTTATTCAATTCAATAAAGTGTTACATTAAATAGATCAATTGTCATATATGTGTCCTTAACTTATATAGTAGATGATTTGGTGTATAGAGTTTAAAACTTATACACAGAAGATTAAATCATCAGTTCTTATAAGTTAAAATTTATAGTTCACAATCATAGATGGAAATTTGGACAAAATCATCAGAAAGATTGTAGCACGAGATTAAATGTAATTTATCTTGATTATGAGAATGGCATAGTTCTAACTTCTCGTGCTAGTGCATTTGGTATGTATTGAACGGGACCAAGCAGAGATAGTTGTTTTAGACTGACTGATAAAAACATATTCTCTAAACTATTAAATGTACTTATATTCTTAATCTTGATATAACGATTATGATCTGTATATATTATTTATTCATTTAGATTTATTAAAAGATGAGATTCTGAGATGGGTCAATATGCCTGGTAAATTGGATGATAATAATATATATTGGTGAAATAATTAGTTAGTTGATGGAATCCATGTCTCAGTATAGAGATTGATGATACACCTTTTATGAGAAGCTTGTAAGTTTTCATGTGTAAACCCGGCTGGTAGATTTATGAATCTGGCACATGAAACAAGTTAAGTATTGCTCTAAAAGAATTTAATCATTGAATTAAATTCATCAGTAATTTAATTTATTGATTAGTATCAGTAATCTTAACATGGGGAATCAAATAAGTGTTTAGTGGTGAATTTCGAAATAAATAGAGGAGTTCAATTACGAATTTTTAGTGGAATGGTTTGTAATTTATTATGGTAAGAATAATTTAAATTAATTATTTAGAATTATTTCCATAATAGGAAGCCTCAGTAATAAATTCTATGGTCCCTCCCGTGCCCAATTTAACTAGAACTCAGAATCCTATTTTCTAGTAGAAGATGGAAAAGTAGCCTTCTCCTAAAAGAAAAAGAATTGGTTTTTCCTCTCCTCTTTGGACTAGGAAGACATCTCTATAAATAGGGATTTTTCTAACCTAGATTTGAAAGAGTATTCTATACAATACTTGCCCACCCAAGTATTGAGAGAGTTCAGTTGTTGATTGGGATCACTGTAGAAGACTATAGAACTGGAGTTGGATTTACTTCAAGATATCTGCACACGCTTCAAGAGGTAATCCTGAGTTAATTTTCAGCATACTTTGTATGTGATAACTATTTGTGATTGTTATTTATATTCATGCAAGATGTATGATTCTGAAATGCTTCCGCTGTATATGCTATTTTCCAACAACTATTTCACTCACACATTTGCTGTGATGGTCTCATTGACTGTCATTGTGTATGTTCAAACAAGTGTCAGTTGGTCATTGGGATTAGCAATCCTCACAATTATGAGGTTCCTTTCTTGTGCACTTTTCTTTGTGGGCACCAAAATTTATGTCAGGCTTGTGCCAAAAGGTAGCCCTTTATCAACTGTGGCACAGGTCTTAGTGGCTGCTATCAAGAAAAGGCACTTGCAGCTGCCAGAGCAACCATGTTACTCCCTATTCAACCATGTGCCTTCCAATTCCTTGACTTCTTTGCTTCCTTACACTGATCAGTTTAGGTAATTCCACTTGCCAGCATCAATGTTACAAGTTAATTTCGCGTAAACTGACCCTCAAAGTTAGATAAACTACTGACTAACTAAAAGGGCTCATGATTTCAGATTCTTGAGTAAAGCAGCAGTAAAAACACCAGAAGACCAAATAAACTCATCAGATGGATCAGCAGTCAATCCATGGAGGCTTTGTAGCATTCAACAAGTGGAAGAAGTGAAATGCTTACTAAGAGTGATCCCAATATGGGTAGCTGGAACTATCTATTATGTCTCTGTTGTTCAATCACAAAATTATGTTATCTTCCAAGCCTTACAAAGTGACAATCAACTAGGCCACAACAATTTCCAGCATCTTTCATAGGCATTTCCATGCTCAGCATAACCATCTGGTTACCAATATATGACCGTGTTTTACTTCCATGGCTTCGGAAATTCACAGGAAAAGAAGATGGAATCAGCCTTCTCCAGAAAATGGGAATTGGAATATTTCTATCGATCGTAACAATGTTCATATCAGGGATTGTTGAAGACAGGAGAAGAACCCTAACTATGACTAGGCCAATGCTACAAATGACTCAGGGGAAAGGTGCTATTTCATCTATGTCAGGACTATGGCTAATACCTCAGATGGCATTATCAGGTGAGCATTTGCAAATCAATGTTTCTTTTACAATTTTTGCTCATCTTTTCAACTTTGACTTGAAATAGAGAATTTGTCCATCAATGGTGCATGTGTCCATGTACAATCCAACACTCCATGCACCAGTGGACAGTCGGAGGCATTTATATTTCACAGAAAAGGTGAAATTCTTAGACTTATGAAAGATGAACTATGAATGCATTTGCCATAGATGTTTCATTAATCAAGTACAAAAAATAACAGTGTTTCACTCAAGCTCCACTTCTACATACTATCTTTCAACCTTAACGTACTTCAAATACTCATAACTGAAAACAGGTCTTTCCAAGGCATTTACATTAATCAGCGAGAATGAGTTCTTCTACAAACAATGCCCTGAAACCATGAGGAGCATCGCTGCATCTTTCTTCTTTGTTGGATTGGCAGGGTCAAGTTATTTGAGCAGTATCATAAAAAGTCACTCAACTATTATGTATAACAAACAACTAAACCGAATTTTCCCAAGTGTCACATAAAGATATTACATACTTTCTTTCTCAAATTAATTTTGTTCCCTTAACTCTTTATTTTTGCATCCCTACATTGATGAATCAAAATGTAAGCTTCTGGTGGGAATTTATGAAAGATCAATTGG